CCGGAGGAACTCACCGATGGGACTTTGTCCAGATCTTTCAAGGATTTGTGAGCTCCTCACACAATCCAGCCTGGTGAAACCCAGAAAGGACCGTAGGCAGGCCAACCTACATGTTTCTAACCGGCAAAGATGTTCCATTAGGGGGGTCCACGTTTCATAAGCATAGAGAAGGGAGAACATGATCGTGCCCGCGATTACCCAAAGCTTCGTGTGGAATGACAGACCAGGTAGCTTCCACACAGCGTTACGCAGCCGATGAAAAGATAATATCGTTCGACTGATTGAGAGTGATACCTCAGCTGTCAAACCGAAGCTTGTCATAAGCACTCACACACACACACGACTCACTATGCAGAACAGGGGGAGAACATACAAACTTTCACACACTCATGCTCACTCACTCAAACCCACACACACATTCACCCACAAAAAAACTCCTTAAAAAGGGGAAGCTATCTTGATTTGAAGCTTTCGTGACTGCATTAATCCATACTCTTTGGTTCTTTCGGTAAAGTCACGTAGGTATAAAATAAAATAAATCACTATTTTATTTCATACTTATGTGACTTTACCGAAACAACAAAAGAGTAAGGAGAAGCTATGTTAAGCGGTGGTGGGGGGGGGAGCGGTGGTGTGGCAGCTAACACAGTCGTGCTATGGATCCGGAAATCTGAGCGGCGAACAATATCTGCAGCGGTACTGGGTGGCTCCTTCACAAACCGACACTTGACCGGCGTGGTCAAGTATGGTATGGACTCATCAACCACTCTGAGACCGACATGGCATGGTGAGGCCTTCATCCAGCAGTGGGTCGGCATCGGCGTGTGTGAATCGTCTCAGGGGGCCGCATGCTAGTCAAACGGGTGCTAAGAATTATAATCAGAATCTTTATATATCCTGGAGAAATCCGAATATCTGTGAAGCTCTTTTTCACAGATGTCCAGTAGGGGCGGGTCAGAAAGTGGCAACAATAAACAATACAAAACACGATAGCAGTGCAAAGTATAGTAAAGGTAAGCAAATCAGAAAGATAAATAAAAGATATACATTCAAATTGCATAAGTACATCAATTTACAAGCTTGAGTAAGGCAGCCAAAACAAAAGCAAGAACAGTCCCAGACCACACCAAGACAACGACACCACAGTCCCTCAATAAAATTGCACATTAAAATTGAACTATCGATACCCGAGTAAGGATAAAGGTTACAAATCACATTTGCAAATGTGGTTGTACACAGCCTCTAATCTTCTGTTTCAGGATATTTTCTAGAAGGTTACGCCGACTTCTGACCTACAGGCTCCATGCGCCGTGCGATCCGTGTGGCTGCTGCCGCCCACCTCGCTTGAACGCAAGCTGCGGACACCACCACTTTCCCTTTCAATTGCTTTGCGAGTCATTTTAAACTGCGCTGGGCAAGAGTTGCAACAGAGTCGCAGCCAAGGACACGTTTACTGTGGAGAAGTGAAATCGGCTCAGGTTCCGGTTCGAGGTGGACTGTTACACACAGTGGGATCATGAGAGATGGCGGCAGCTTGCAGGGGGATGATCCAACATTGGATCGATCATGGCTGACGATGATGAATCACGGACAATACCGAGAGGTGTAAAAAACTAAATGGCAGCGATTTGATTGAAAACTGAAAAGAGGGAAATCCTGTGCGATTCCCAATTTTCAAACAACACGCAGTAATGTGGACAATAAGCACCCGGCCCCATGGGCATGATGCATTGTCGTCCTCTTGTTTAAGGTCACCATCATATCAAAGTAAAATTGAGCAAATGTGGCCGACTAGGAGCAGCAGCAGCAGTGAGACACAGGCAACTCTGGAGCCAGTTCCTGATCACAGGAACACGTTACAATGACGTGTGGAGATATGATTACTGTATCCGACTCACATCGAAGTGACAAAATTAAATATTTAAAAGTCTTCCAGGTCTCGGGGGACCCAGGGGAGTGAGTACGTGTCAGTGCCCGGTGCAGAGCTGGCACCACAGCGATCCGAGAAATAAATCCAAGCTGCCCGCACCACAGCCGTGTTCGCAAGTTCGGCGAGTTGATGGCCTCTGCCGGGTCGCCGATGGCCACACGCAAAACGCAATTTGCTGCGTTGCATTCACCCGATGAAATGCCAGCTCTGAGGAATGATAGCTTCGGTTCCACATACGCGATGAGCAATCTCTGCAGGGTTACAAAAAAAAAGGCACGCTCCCCAGCGCGGCGAGCGAGCGAGAGAGAAAACGAGTAATTTATTTATTAATGTGCATGACACATTTTGCCACATGGGCCTCTAAGTACCTTACATAAGCTCTCTAATGATATTTTGATTCCCCAGACACTCGCACCCCTTAATGGAAAGCACGGACAAATAGAAATGCCCCCTGCACCCTTTCCCAGCGCAAAGTGTAATGACAGCCAGAAGCATTTTGGCTGCCTCCCGATTTACAGAGTCTGGCTCCTTCTGCCGAGAAGGGTTTTTGAAAATGAGTCTCAGGACGGGCTGACGCGTGCCGATCCAGAGGATCTCATCGTAGCACAAGGTACTGGGAAAACGCCGAGGTGACAGGGGGTGGGGGGGGGTTCAAGTGATTTAGGGCCGTTTAATTTTTGCATAAAACTTGATTCAGTAAGCTGCAGGTATCTGATCCAGCTCGCAACGAACTGGTGCGATTTGTTCCGAGCTATCTTACACCCCCTAAGCATCCTGCAGCAGCTGCAGTTTATGAATAAGAGAGAGCAGAGGCGACGCTAAGTAGAGTGAGATAAAGCCGTCTTGGTCCGGATTAAACAGATAAATGGGTGACCATTTCAAGATCCTCTGAGGAAGGGAATGGATGCATCTCATGGATCGGTAATTTGTGGTGGTTGAGGCGTTCAGCAGAATTCGCGGATGCGCAGAACATGACACGGCTGCTGATGCATGAGCGGACGCCTGAAACCAGCGAATGCGAGCAGCGCGTTCGCGCTCGCCGGAATCACACCGCCGCACGGCAGTCGCCGGCGAGATGGAACGATCACCACGGGTTTGGGACAATCGAGACACACGGAGATACACACGGAGAAAGACCCAGAGATACACACAGGGAGACACAGAGAGACAGAGACATGGAGATATGATTGCAGACAGGTGGATGACACGAGACATAAGCTACGTGGCCACATCGCAGCTGTAAGCTGCCTGAAATCACAGGAAAGCTGCTTCCTAGCCCCAACAGAACCACTTAACAAAGTCACTGACAGCCGCACAACTGGAAATGTGGTGAACACGGCTTGACACGATCACCACGGACATCGCCACCACACACAGAGACGCCTCGGCGTCACCGCTGGCACTGACAAATATCGGCCGACATGGACGTGTTTAAATTGCCTTCAAACGAGGAGTTGGCAGCTCACTTACTCACCCACCCCACTGACTCACACACCCACACACCGACTCACACCCACTCACTCATTCGCCTACTCACACACCCACTCCCTCGCACACTCGCCGACTTAACCAACCACTCAGTCACTCACCCACTCACTCACTCACCCACACACACTCAGCCACACACCCACCGACTTACCCAACCACTCACTTACTCACTCACCCACCCACTCACACACACCCACCCACTCACCCACTTATTCACCGACTAGCCTAACCACTCACTCTGAACGGGAGTGGGCAGCTCATCCACTCACCCACCCACTCACACAATGACTCACCCAACCACTCACTCACAACGGCAGTGGGCAGCTCAAGAGACAAATTCCAGACGAAGTGGAGCTACTAAAGTGACACTGACGCATATGACTTTGTTGAAACACACAGACCGTGGAACATCTATTGGGCTGAGCCCTGCACTTTGGATGACCTCGCAAGGGCTACAGACCAGGCCACATCATCATCACCATCATCATCATCATCACGTGACTGTGGTGGCAGCAAAGATGAATAAGAAGACGACGAATAAGATGAATAAGAATAATTTTGTACATCTCCCTCAGTCGAAAAAGACTGTATCCATTTGATTACCCTGCCAGGGGCAGGCTGCAGGAAAGTTACCGATTGATTTCACAAGCAGGGGTTCTACCCTCGTTACCTGAAGAGATGTTCTCATCTACCTGAGGCCCAGCCCCTCCCAAAAAATTATTTAGTAATTCTTTGACGTCTTCTTCCGTGGCCATTCTCGGATGCAGCACATCACAACGACCGCTGCCAATCTTCATCATACGACCACACGACGCCCCAAAGCGAAACTGGAATAACAGTTGGAGACACGAAGCGAAAGCTCAAAACAAGAATGTTTATGAAGCCTGGCGGCTATGGGAAGCACGGGAAATTATAGAGGGGTGTTCCAAAAAAGGCCCAATAATGACTTTCTCAAAGAGTTTGCTATTCATTCGAGGGAACGTCACGAATGCTGTAAACATCTGTCAGACGGCATTCCAGGCCACACACACACGGGGCACCCGAGAACTTCAAAGTCCATTGCACAGACTTGGATGGACCGTGCTGCCCCATCCGCCACACAGCCCACAGCTCTCACATTTCAATCCGTTTGGCACTTTGCAGGATAGCCATTCTGAAAACGCCCCCCCCCCAACCCCCCCGGTCTCTTGACAAATGAAACATTTTGCCAGGACGGGATGGTGCCACGTTGGTCCAAGCGCATACGAAGAGGATGAAGACTGCGTTGCAAAAACAGCCAAATGTTCGTGCCATTCCCATGAATTCCCAATGACAATTTTGCATCGCTTCAATAAAAAAAGGTACAAAGTTATCAAAACAGGCGGTACCACTTTTGGGCGAATGAGGGCAAAATGTTCGTCATTTCCAAAGCTCATTTTAAGCCTGCATCCAAATTTTGCGGTCAGGCACCACTGTAGGCAAGGGTGCGCAGCTCGTCATCAAAAGGCATAATAATCATCCCCACAGGGTGGATAAATCGAGCATCGCCGTGTGGGAGGTCAACAAAAATATTCCAACAAACAAACAGGCGGCCACTGCTCACCGGCTTGCGATCCGGGATGCTCGAACGACGCCGTCGTCGCCAGGAGTCGAGGTGAGAAGCTGGTATGGGCAGAGGAGCCGGCGCAGGGGCCTTGGTCCGGAGGTGATAGCACCGCACTTAGCCCGGTCGGCGCGGAAATCGAACCCGGAGCCGGGCACGCGCGGCTCTTGTGCTCGATGAAGCGCAGGATCTGCGAGAGCGGCAGCGAGAGGTGGCACAATCCGCACGTGAGCAGATCGCTCCGAGCCGCCGCGTGTCCACCCGCCTCTCCATCTCCCTCCTCTTCATCTGCTCTGTCGCCATCATCGCCATCTTCATCGTCGTCGTCGTAATCGTCGTCGTCATCGTCATTGAAATCTTCTTCAGTGTCATCATCGCCCGGTTTGGATGTCGCCGTTGCGGCCGCCGATGCGAAGCGACGGCCGTTGCGAACGTGGCGATGGCCGCTGCTGCTGGGACCGCCGCCATCACCGCCGCCATCACCACCGCCACCGTCACCACCCCGTCCCCCTCCTCCTCTTCTTCCACCCGTGTCGTCATCATCAGCATCGTCGCCTGCATCCATTCCCAAAGAAGAATACATGGCCGAGGTTTAGAATGCACACACACGAGTGCGTTCACATGTACAAATACGCTGTGTGTAGCCTGCGCAGGCTGGGGTGATCAGAACTGTTCGCGAGCAGGTGTGCACTTATGAAGGCACAGCACTGGCAAGGTGCACAAATGGATGGGTTATGCCACACCTTGGTCTCCCCAGTGCTGATGTTTACACACGACATCAGGTATTCATTTAAGGCTGAGTTGCCCTAAGGGGAATCCCAGAACCGGTTCAGATATTTGCCACACTCTTACTGGCCATGAGCGAGAATCGAGCTTGGATTGTTGGGTTTGTGGGGCAATGCGCTAACCACTGCAATCACGCCCCAAAGACAAAGATGCCTCGTATAGCCTTAAAAACTGTAGGGAGCAAGTGCTGTTAGAGCACCTATGAAGGCCAGCACAGCACACGAGGGGGTGGGTGGCCAGCACTAATGGGGCAAAAGTTCTCAAGTGTCCCCGCAGCCAACCGCCCCTTCCCCCCCCGCCCGCCACACACAAACGCAGAGAGACATCGGTCCCATGTTCAGCCTGGAGACGTTGTAGCTGTGTGCGAATGTGCAGCCGCTTTAGCAATGGACTGCTGGAAGCTATGGGAGTTATCTGACCATACTTGGTGACACTGGCCAGCAGGGATTAGTGAACGCAGGGAGCATACACGGGAACATGGTACACTACAATGGAAATTTGCTGTGCTGCTAAAAATTCACCTGTATAACGATAAAAACAACTTTTTATCAGGTTTTCAGTTTCATTTATTAGGTATAGCCCTGTGAGCCATTCGGCTCTTGAATCGGGTGCAACCGCAACAAACAAAAAAGCTAAAACATGAACAAGAAAACATCTTAAAGTGATTACGTGCAAACAGAAAAATCCAGGAAAAAAACAGCAAAATCTTCCAGAAAAAGCACCATACACCAACTCTGTGCAAAAATCCCATTGGGATGCAAGTCAAACAACAACAACCAGAAGACAACTTCGATTAAAGCCATCAGTCTAACTCCGTACTACATCAAACAAACATGGCCAAAGAAAAAACTTTTCGAAATCACCAAAATAACGCCATGAAAGCAATGGAACAGTGGTCATAAGGTAAAGCCCACTGAGCGATGTAGCTCTTTTTCAGAAACGACCCAGCAACCACAAATTATAACTCAACGAAGGGGCTTATCACGTGCAAATTGATTGCAGCCAAATACTCTAAATGCGTGAAGTTGATTCTAAATGTGGAGGGAAAAACCGGAGGACCCGGAGAAAAATCCACGCGACCACGGAGAGAACAATCAAACTCCAAATATACAGGTGTCAGGGTCGGGATCGAATCCATGACTTCCTGTATACCAGGAGAGGTAGATAACATCTCGCCAATGGGGTACCCCCCTCAGCAGCCGACCACAGTCACAACGCCGGTGCTATGCATGGTAACTGCCCTTCCAGGCACTATCCAGGCTCCAACCTGCTTAGCTTTCAAGATCTGCCGAGACCGGGCGCATTCCAGATTTGTCACGGCAAACGAGCGTCCATCGGCAGCCCCAAAAGATGCAGTGGAAATTACACATTCCCAAGGCAAGGGCCAGTCTATCCATAGCACTGTTAATTCTCCCAAAGAGTCGTGCTCAACCTCCAGAGGGATTATTATGGGCTCAGCAGATAGTGCATTTTAAACATGAAGTATATAAAAACACCAGTTGCAGTGGTAATCCTATTCTATCCTATTTAGAATGTATATAGCGCCCTGTCCAGGGCACTTTACAACGCAAACAGAAAGGGGCAAAAGGTGGATGAGCGGATGGGGTGGAACGGCTGTAAGTGAGGGAGGTGACAGGGGCTGGGGGAAAGGAGGCACGTGATGTTGCAGCGGTAGTGAAGGAGGAATAAGGTGGAGTGTGACGGTGAATGAGGGTGACGGACGGGTGCAACGTGGATGAGAGGCAGCAAGGTATGGGGCACATGCGTGAAGTGATAAGACAGATAGGTGCTGTAGCTGGGCATGGATGAGGGTAGGTGAAGGGGAACTGGCTCCCCATCATATCAATGTTTTCTTTTTGTGTTCAGTTTGTTGTCCTTTCCCCGCACCTCCGATTAGCACGGTTGGCTACGTACGATGCGAAAGAAGTTAAACATACATGCATACAATGTGGAATTTCATCAATGGCTCTTCTGTAGCCCAGTAGTGTATTTCACGAGCCTCCACCACAGAGGCCGACCTTGACAGCGCTGGTACCAGTCGTCACCAAGTCATACTGTACCACATTAGCCAACCTCTTCTCTAACATGTGCCGCACCCATTTAGCACCATCTATCCGGCCAAGCAGAAGCTGCTTGGGCATGTGGTGACTGGGCATGCGGGCTACATGACCCAGCCAAGGCAGCCTCGCCTGCCAGAGCTCACTGATGGAACAGTGTCCAGATCTTTTAAGGATCGGTGAGCTTCTTACAATGTAATCTGGTTAAGAACAGGATGGATCGTAGGCAAGCAGCCTGAATATTTCAAGCCGGTGAAGGAATTTCTTTGAAGGGGTTCATGTTTTACAAACAAAGAGAAGAGAGGGCATGATTGTGGCCAGGTAGCAACTTTGTATGGAGTGATAGGCCAGGCAGCTTATTCGCAGAGCCGATGAAAAGATATTGCAGCTCGACTGATTCAGTGAGACCTCAGCTGCCAAACTAGAGCTGGCCATGAGTACACTGCACAAGTACAGGGAACTCATCCATCCTTTCCACAACCGCCCCATTACTTCTGGAGTACTGACGTCATAAAGTGTTTGATGTATATATGCATGTTGAACTTATTTCGCTCCATATGTAACCAACCGTGCCAATCGGAGGTGCGGGGGAAGGACAACAAACTAAACACAGAAAACTGTTCTAAAAAAATGAGTTTGTCAATCTAGATGATGACTTAAAAGTGCATAGCTCCCGTGGCTTCCTAATATTGGAAGAGCATTCCTGATGCCCGCAGAAGCGCATCTGAAAGCGCGCGATGCGGTGACTGTCTTTGATTGATAGTTGTCCAAAAGCCACTGCGAGGATGACCGGAGTTTGCGTGATGATTTATGCTCCTTTGACGAGATCAGCAAGGTATTGTGGTTCATTTGTGGCAAGCACTTTGTGTGTAATGAGCACGACCTTATAATCATCAACCGAAAGGCAATGCAGTTGGGCGAGCACCAACTTGATGGCAATGAGTACCCAGGAAGCCGTTTTATTTTAGTGGGGCTGATAGTAAAGCTCAATTTTTTAGTGGCACGCTCTAGATTCAACAACAGCGTCCAACTCCTTCTTAGTGAGCCGCTATTACAAGATCATCGGCACACGTGACATGCTTGAGGGCTCGGAAGCCATTCTTGACCACACCCAGGCATCGATAAGCCTCCTGAGAGAAACTCAACTACACTCCACGACATCCAAACGTGCTGCGTATTATTGCAACGTCTTCTAGGATGGGGCGCCCCTCAACCCGGCAACATCATGGGGCAAGGTGGTGGGGGGGGGGGGAGAAGTGGCGGGGGGGGGGGGCAGACCCTGTGAGGGTTGTCAAGCCTCAAAGGTTGAAGGAGGTAGCCACCTCCCTGTGAGTGGTTACATTTTACGATTTTTATAAACACAGATATAAACACATGTGCGTACACACAAAAGATGAAGATCGCTGTTAGCGAGCACTTATGAAGGTTGGCACAGCACGCGAGGGGTAGGTGGCCAGCACCACGCCCGGCCACCTTTGTCTCCCCAGTGCTTATGTTTATACACTGCACCTAGTACTAACTTGAGGCTGAGTAGACCGAGCGGAGGCCCTGGACTGGTTCAGATACTTGTCACTGGCATTGGCCATGAACAGAAATCGAAGTGAAGTCACCGGGGTTCGTAGCACAGCCTAACACGCACACGCACGATATGAGCGCGTGTCCCTATCCACGGATCGTATTGCACAAGACGCTGCTTGCCATACTTACAGTGCGTTGATATCATCGCTAGCAGCGAGACTGTAATGAGAGAGGTGGGTCAGGCAGACCCGGCTGACAGCCCAAGGGTGCAAACGGCACCACGGCCCAGACCAATTGGCCTCCGTGCCTACCGGTAACCAGCAAAACTGGTTCGGATTGGGCGACCAGGTTCGCCAAGCCGTCAGCGCACAGAGCATAATTATAAGCAGGACAATCGTAAAGTTTAGTTCAAACAAATCCAGACAGATCGCTTGTATTGACGACCAAGTAAGGGCACACCGAGACCAGAAAAGCCTCCCATTAAAATGTATTTCTCTCCCGGAAAACTACAAATTATAACCAAACTAAAGGTGGTATATTTTTTTACATTTTAGTCAAAATGGTTTTGTTACATCGACTTATATTGGCTCGTGTAAATAAGGCAAAGTGAGATCACTTGCATGGTGTTATGGTCGGATTGCCACTCCGCCTGGCAAAGCAAATGACTCTTTCGTGCAGTTGAATGAAATGCGTCAGAGAGGTCAAAGGGCGAGGCTGGCTGGCTGGCTCAAGAGGCTAATAATGGTCGTTTCCTGGCACCGAGCCAGTGAACGCGAGATTATCAAAATTCTAAAGTGTGGTGACTTGCGTGGCCTTTGGCCAGCCACGGGTGACCAGTTCATATCCAGGTCAAGGGTCAACTTGGTCCACCATTTGAATCTCTGTTATCAATAAAACATTTGTGGGAGGCTTAAAGTGGTCTGTGGAGCGACTGATTGGCCTCACCTATTAAAATATAGAATTTAACCAATGGCTTAAGGCATGAAACTGGCTTAATGCCGTAAAATGGCCATTTGAACGGATTTTTTTCCAGTTTTATATGGGCTAGTCCATTATGTATGGATGTTGAACCTCTTTCACACCGTACGTAGCCAACCGTGCTAATCGGAGGTGCAGGGGAAGGACAACAAACTATGGGTCTCTGTGGGAGTCTATGGGTCTCTGTGTGAGTCTATGGGTCTCTGTGGGAGTCTA